GCCCGGGTCTTGCGAGCGGCTGTACAGCTCCAGCGGCAAGGTGAGTCCGCAGGGCTGCCCGGGAGGGATGGGATGCGGGGAGGCGTTTCGCCTGCCCGAGGTTGTCCTGCAACGAGTCCCCAAAGGCGGCGGTCCTGCGTGTAGAAGGTGGTCTTTCCGGACAGGCGATGTCATCCCGGAGTAGCAATTTCCCGCTGCAAGGGCGTTTGCGTCCCCTTGGCAGTCGGAGGACTTGCCGTTCCAAGCCGAGGCATGCCGCGAAGGACACGGCGGATAATGCTACTTAGTGCTGTGTGTTGATGCTAGCAAAGAACTTCGGGCTTGCTTCTCTGCCTGGCCCGGAGCTGCCGTACGTAGCCTGTGTAAGAGAGATGAGCTTTGTGCATCTCTCAAATCGGCGACCAAAGTTTTTCAGTGAAGTGTTACTGATTGCTATTAGGGGTCTCCTGGTTCCTGTTGCTGAAAGCTTTGAAAAGCAAAGAAGCCACCTTTCTTCAAAATGTTGTACTACTTGGAATGAGCAGGAATAACACAAAAAGAAGTTTTTTAGTGTTGGACCTTTCAAGTGAGTGAACCAAGGAAGTCAGGCTGGTTTTTTGCATTTTTGTAATTTAGCCAAGATAAGTGTTACCTGTAGCTTCCTTTTCCACAAAGTGTGCTTGCTCCTTATGATAAGGTTACTGCCGCCTGAGCTGCTAGGTAATGTCGCTGTATTCTTAACATGCTTGTGAAGAGTGATGTCCTAATGGTCCACTGAATCCAGTTTTCTTAATCCTTAAGTTTAGTAGTTTAACAAACTTGAAACTGTTTTAAGTTTTCCAACTCCCTATATTCATAAGAACGTAGTACCTTTCACAACACTTTCCAGCAATCTGATTATTTAGAGTAATAAATATATATGTATGTATGACTAAAATGAAATGCTAGTATTTTAAACACTGATGGCAATTTAAGTTTTTTTATTTCTATTCAACTTATGCCTCTTCTAGAGAAAAGAGTTAATTCTTTTTTAAAGGCCAGGTCATATTGCACGTAGAGACTGTAACCATGGTTTATGAAAATAAATTTCTGTTTTTCAGGAAAAATTAGATATGTCAATGTATCCTGTTGAAAGCATTAGAAACTTCAGTATTATAGCTCACGTAGATCATGGCAAAAGTACACTAGCAGACAGATTGTTGGAAATTACAGGTAAGTGTTCTCATTTTATACTACCTTTTCTTGACATGTAAGATGACGTGTAAGTTTCTGTAGCTTTGATTATTACTAAGATTTCTAATATTTTTGCTCTTCTAGTGCCAGGTTGCTTGTGCTTTTAGGCTGCCAGTTGTATAGTGTTACAGATGCGAATATGATGGACTTTCTTTCTGGTTGAGATCTGCCTGCAAGTAGGGGTAAGGAAGTGTGTAATTCACTCAAGGAAGTATAAGTTGTAGAAAGAGATGAAAAGGAGTGTAATTCCTTGTTCAAGATGCTACTCCTGTCATTCCTGACCAATCGTCCATTAGACCGGTACACAGCAAGTTTATGATGTTTACTGCTAGTGTTTGGGGTAGACAGAAGGGGACTGTCATGACCTAGGAATTCTGGACAGAGTAGTTTTCAAAAGTGTTACTGAAACAGAGAGGAACTTCAGCTGCTTGTACTTAGATGAAAGTAATGATATGTCCTCTTGTGAGCCAAACCATAAACAACTGCCTTTCATGGTGGTGAAGCTCACTGGTAGTGAAGCTGATATGACGCTGCATAGTAAGTTTTAGAAATGTACAGCCCTATGTTGATTTAGATTTAGTGTGTAGAATAGCTGCTAGTAATTAAGTGTAAATTCCATAGATTCTCAGCTGCTATATAGACTTGCTTTTTCCTTCACTCTAAGTATTGGTGAAGTTGTGTTACTTTCATCTTCAGAGGTTTTTATTTTGTCCTCATCGGAGTGCTTCTTGGACTTAAGTGTTTTTATTTCTGTGGTGTTGTTGAGGATAAGGAAAACTACCCCCCTTTAAAGTGAAAGTGAGAAGCAGAAGTTCTAAGGGATCTTCATAACTAAGTGACTCTGAAACTAGGCTTTCCTTGGAAGAGAGAGACAGAGGTTTCCTTAGAGGGTTCTCTAAGGTAAGCTGTAAAGCAATTGCTGTATCTCCCAAGAGGAGACTAATTTCAGAGCAGAGCTTAAATTAGCTACTCAGAAATACCCTTTGGAAAAGTCTTGCTTTTCTCATTTAAGGGGTGAGCAAAACAAAACCTGGGAGAGAAGCTTTTGATCAAAGTTATTCTTTATGATTACCTCCTGCGTGTCGCTTTGGGCAATTTTACCTGATGCCTGTGATAGAATGGAGTTTTGAATTCAGGTCTGTCAAGCTCTCTGATAATGCTCTTTTTGCAATTGAGATTGGCACTGGTTGGAGCCGTGGGCCATGGAGCTACTCTGCAGTGATAGGAGGTGAAGTTTCTTTAAACATCAAAATTATTTAGCACTGAATGGAATTTTTGCTACTTTTTAATCGCGAATTTAGACTTACATGATGTTTTGTATCCTGCTTATTCAGGAAAGTATTTAATATAACTTCGTACGTAAAAATTTATTTAACAGATGTTAAGAGCTGAAGTGTAATTTTATTTCTAAATGAAAATCTAAGTTTAGCTTAATCAGATGGAAGAGCTTCATTTGCAGCTGCAGGTCCCATGCTCTCCTGATTAATGGCATTTTCAAGAATTTTTTTTTTTGAGAGCTAATGTACTAAGTGAGGTAATAAAACCGTTTTTTATCTTAGGAACAATTGCTAAAACTGACCGTAATAAACAAGTGCTGGATAAACTGCAAGTGGAACGCGAAAGAGGAATTACAGTTAAAGCACAATCTGCATCTCTGTTTTACAGTCATGAAGGTGTAAACTACCTCTTAAATCTTATTGACACGCCAGTAAGTTAAGTATAAACAGTGTTTAAGTCACACAAAGCTAAATGTCTTTGTATTTAAAAGTAGGAGATATCTGGCTTCTTGTGTTTATTCAATTTCTTTTTTTGTAAGAATTGTGTTTTGGATGAACATATAGACAAATGAAAACATCATAATACAGAAATCTTTGCAAAGGACTCTAGAAATACCTGGAATTGTAAACGTTTATTTTCTCCACAGGGCCACGTAGATTTCAGCTATGAAGTATCACGGTCACTGTCTGCCTGTCAAGGTGTCATACTTGTAGTGGATGCAAATGAGGTAGAGTTTTTAATTCTTGTTTTCTGCTTAGAATCTAAGGAATTTTTTTAAGTAAGCTAGAGAGAAGATTAGGGGTTTTTAATTTTTCCATTGGGTTTTTGCCCCTGGTTTATCTCCGTAAAAGTATTACATTACAGAAGAAGAGTAATGGGATCAGATCCTACTTTGTACAGAGTATGAACTTTGCAGATGGCAGTCTGGAGAACTCTTAGCTGTTGTATCAGCTATAATACCCATTTGAGTACCTTCAGTTTCTTGTTGGGAAGCTTGATGATTGATTCAACCAGCCACACTGTTAGTTATAACTAATTGCTGTTGTGTTTTTGATTGTCAATAATACAGACCAATACTGGCAACGTTAAAGCTAAAGGACACTATAAGCTGAATGTGAATAAACTTACTCTGGAAACTTGAAGTTTTATATCCACTGGATTAACAGGTTCTTGACTGATCTTTCAGGAGAAGGAGAAGAGTGAGGGAGTAAAATGTTTGTAAGGTGATACACTCATAAATTTACAGACAAAGTCTATACTAGGAGGGAAGTGGAATTCGAGATCTTAGTTGTACTTTTATTTGTACAGTGCTAGGAACATTCTGAAGAATCAGTTAACAGACTAGAAGATGAGTATTATGGGAACATGATTTTAAATAAGGACACATTCTCACAAAGTATTTTGATAATTTTCTCTGTGGCATATTTATGATTGGATTGTACAAGGGTCAAATCAATGCTACTTTTTTCCTTGTTATATTAAAAAAAAAATTCTAACTTCCTTTCAATGATTATGCACACTTGTTCCTTCCTAGCTTGGTGGGCAAGTGGACTTCTTAAGTAAGCTTTAGTAATAAATGTTTTCTAAATGTGCTGATGTTTTTATATTTAATGTGTATAACTTTTTTTACATCATATTTAAATGTTGTGTGATTACTTGGTATTCTGTATTTGCCTCTTAGTCAGAATGCTCATGAACTCAACTTTTTCATTATAATTGCTAATGTTTCTCCTGCCAGCCTGAATTCTGGAGGTAATTTTCAAGATTTAGGTCTTGCATACTTCTTACTTTTTTTCCTTTTTGTTTTTTAATAATTTTTTGTTTGTTTCTTTATGTTGCCTAAAAAGTTAGGCCCCTATATCCATAGTGAATATCCCCGTATAAGTAACTTCCCACTTGATCTGTTGTAAACAAAGGGGAAGACAAGAAGTAGCTTCTCTTTTTTTCCTCCTCTCCTCCCACCCACTTTTGACCTCTCTGGTCCGATTGTCACATTAGGCTTTATAATCTCATTCATTAGCGTCTCTGTCTCTCTCTCTATTTGTTTTTCCTTGTCTGGTACTTGGATCTGGAAGGTAATCTTCGTTTTTCTTCTGATCAGAGCTGTTCCTTTGCCATCCTTTTGAAAGAAATGTGAGGTACAAAACTTAGAATTTGTTTTCTTTTTTGAAAATAACTGTAAGGTAAGTTGAAGGTATGTTCCTGTCCTCTGGAGTAGCTACATACAGTCTTATTACCATGATAAACATCCCTTTTTTTTGTCTTAGTCCATTTGTGAATAGTTTGTTGTGGACAAAGAATCTGTTTTTTGAGGTACCTGTTACGATCTTGGTTATTCAGAAATAAGTAACGTATATAAAAATATGTACTTGGTGCATAATGTATGCATAATACTGTTATCTATAAATAATTGCATGTATGTGGTCACACAGCATTATTAGTTTGTCTACTTATATTCAGATTATGAGAAATGGTACTTAGGAATGTTGTTTTCTTTTTCAACAATGTGTATAATTAATAACTTATTTTATCCCCCAAATGAAGGAGTGGATAGAATAGCAAAGTAATCTTATATTGTATAGTAAGCCTTAAAAACAAAAAAAAAAAAAAAAAAAAAAAAAAAATACCTTTTTAAATTAAAGTCTTTTAATGCTTATTTTCTAGGGTATTCAGGCTCAGACAGTGGCAAACTTCTATCTTGCTTTTGAAGCACAGCTTGCAATAATTCCTGTCATAAATAAGGTAATAAAGGTTTTAGAGTTTCATATTAAATAGTTGGGTTGTTTAAATGTATAGAAGATTTATAAGAAATGTATCCTCAAATAGAAATATATAATGAAAAAATAGCTAGAATATAATAAGAATTCTGTGTTTTACTCATAAATACATAAAGGTTCCTTGACTTGTATATTTGGAAACTACAGTGCTGGATCACATGGAAGACGTGATTGCCTGTATATTTAGCAGTTTGTTGTTTTTCAGATTGACTTGAAGAATGCAGACCCTGAAAGAGTTGAAAAACAAATTGAGAAGCTGTTTGATATCCCTATAGATGAATGTGTAAGGGTAAGATCTCTTGAAGTTTTATAACATGGCTGATTGTATATCTGTATCTTCTTTGTAGCTAATGAAAGACATGTACACGCAGTAAATCAACAGGGTGTCATCTGTCTGCCTGTCTTTGTCTGACATTCGTGAATTTCTTTAAAGAGTGCCTCCTGGAAAACAAGAGTGGAGAACATACTTAGTTAAAAATTCTAGTATGTCTTGATGAATGGCATCAGATAGATTTTAAATGATTTCTCATTGTGGGTCCGTAAATTGTTTTCACTTTTACTGTAACAACAATTGCCATTCAGGAGAGAAAAAAAAATGTTACAGAATAATTTATAATCAAATAAGCATTTCATAGTAATAGCGTTCTAAAGTGTGCTTCAGAGTGCTTTTATGGGTAGTATTATCGGTGGCCACCAAAACTGTCTAAGTAAATGTGACCCTGTTTAATAGATACTGAATGAATGTAAGACACGTCTTATAAAATTGTTGTTGAACTTGTTTTAGATTTCTGCTAAACAAGGAACAAATGTTGAGAAAGTTCTTCAAAAGGTCATTGAGAAGATTCCACCGTAAGTTCTGTATTTTGTTATGAAACCTTGTAAGGTTAATTAGGAAACCATGAGTTGCATTTATACAGTATAATGGCACTAGTTCTGCACTTAATATTGATCTAATTTAAAGTCAATACTTTATAAAGAGATGTGGGAGAAATCTAATGTCTGAGCTGGTTAAGTCAGTTTCAAATTGCAAATCAGAAAAAATGACACTTCAGATTTGAGATGCCTTTTAAAAAATGAATGTGTGAATGTCAGCAGAGAAGACTTCTTTATGCTTAAGAAGTGGGAGAGGAAAATGAATTCAGTATGAAATGAAAGATGAGAGGTGAGTGACTAAAGGTGATAGTTCTATGAATGTTTATATAGCTTCCATGAAACTTAGTGTTTGAGGATCTGTGTGTGCTGTTACTCCTTTTGAACATTGCATTGTTAAAATGGTAAAGGTAATTGAAATCTGTTGTGCTTAGAGTTTTTCAAATCCTGAACCCAACCTTTAAAATAGACTTTTACCTAGGAACTTGATGACAAAGCTGCTGAATTACAGGTCAGTTTCAATCAGCGTATTGCTTTTCAATCTTTTTTCCTACTATTAGCTAATAATTGTAGTCATCATATTAGTTAATAATGATAGTTAAAAGAAACCACAATGAAAATTTGAGAGTAGGTTTCCATGAAGGATGGAATATATATACCAAAATATCAGTGGACTTTTTTTCTTTTTTAAAAAAACCTCAGCTGTTGGAATGTAACTGTTGAATTTTTATTTTCCCCGTAATACGATATTTTAAGCATCAGTTTCACCTGTTGTGAAATGGGTATGATGAATATGCATTTGGTTTTGTTCTATTTGTACTCCTATTGCACATGGGAGAAAAAAAAGTAAAGATTTGCTGCAGAATAGTGAAACACTGAAATGATGTCTGGTATGTGTTTGTTTACTGAAAATTACTCAGTAGTTTTATCTGTTTTAATATGGAAGTTTTTAGGGTGCTGGTGCTTGCTCATTTGATACTGGATGAAAAACACACTGCTTAATATATTGTTTTAAATTTTTTGTGACAGACCCCACTGTAATACTGCTGATCCATTGAAAGCCTTAGTATTTGACTCCACCTTTGACCATTACCGAGGCGTCATAGCTAACATTGCACTCTTTGGTGGGGAGATTCAGAAAGGGCATAAAATTGTGTCTGCGCACACAAAGAAAAGATACGAAGTTAATGAAGTGGGAATTCTTACTCCAAATGAGCAGCCAACGCATAAACTGTAAGTAAAAATGTCTTTCAATGGAACAAATCATAAATTGGTATAAGATACAAAATCCTGCATTTCTGTTTGATTTTTGCTTTGAGTGGTAAAGGCTGGGAGATGTCTGGGTGTTTTGTTCTTGTTCTTTGGTGATGGTGGTTTTTTATGATTATTATCTGTAATTTAATGCTCAATGTCAGTGTTTTTCATTTTGGGCATGCTGAGGCAGAAGCTTTTGGGGACTTCTTGGACACTGCTAGGGGGAGGAAGCCATTCTATCATCTATAGTACATGGAACATCTGGACAGCTAGTTTTTTTAAGACTAGCATTTGATATTCTCATTCAGCTGTCCAATTTATTTCTAGGAACTACCTTGTTTGAGAGTGGAAGGGCATGGGGCTTCATCTTAGTTATTGCTGCAGCATATTTTGAGGGTGGAAAACTTAAAATCCATGAATGCAACAGCTTCCAGAAACTGGCTCCTCATGGCAGCATTGGGAAGAAAATCAGGTACTTAGGATTAGCAGAGAAGCTTTATCAGTTTGCATCGAAGTATGTGTCAATGACTCTCTTGGGAGATTCTCAGTGAGACTCTGTGTGGTGGATTGAACCCAGCCAGAACTAAGCACCCAACCAGCCACATGCTCACTACCCCAACCGCAGCAGGATGAGGGAGAGAATTGGAAGAGCAAAAGTGAGGAAAGACTCGTAGGTCGAGATAAAGACAGTTAACTAAGTGAAGGAAAAAGAAAAACGTTGGGGGGGGAAGTGATGCAAAGACAGACTCACCATCGGATGAGGGAGAGAATTGGAAGAGCAAAAGTGAGGAAAGACTCGTAGGTCGAGATAAAGACAGTTAACTAAGTGAAGGAAAAAGAAAAACGTTGGGGGGGGAAGTGACGCAAAGACAATCAGTTACTCACCATCTCCCACAAGCAGACCGACCACTAGCAGACAAGTTAGTGTACAAGCAACAGCCACCTTGGAGAGACTACGCTCCTTGTTTTTTATTGCCGAGTGTGACGTTCTATGGCATGGAATATCCCTTTGGTCAGTTCGGGTCTGCTGTCCTGGTTGTGCCACCTCCCAACCTCTTGCCCTAGCCTGTTTGCTGGGGGGGGACAAAGTGAGAAACAGAGAAAGCCTTCATGCTGTGCAAGCACTATTCAGCAATAGCTAAAACACTGGTGTGTTGTTAACACCATTTTATTCACAAATCCAAAGCACAGCACCATATGGGGCTGCTATGAAGAAAGTTAACTCCATCCCAGCCAAAAATGGTACGCTGTGTTTTACTCTTTATCTACCATGGGTTCCTCTCCAACAGCATTATGTGCTGATGGAAGGCATTTGTCTTTTGTTGTTTCTTCCACTTGGTATATGAAACTTGCTGTGGTGGCAGCTCGGAACTGTTCTGGTTCTGTTTCTTAGATCCTTGAGAAGTTCCTTCTAGCTCCAGCTTTCAAACTGGGAGTAGCACAGAATTAAAAATCCAGAACTATAAATGTACTGTGTAACTGTAACAGAAATAGAGCTACTTGAGTCAACAGATAGTTTGTCCCTTGGGATAAAGTTCACAGCTCAGAGGAGAAACAACTTAAATCTGGCTTTTGGACTGTGTATGGGCTTTTAGGGGGGTGATTTATTTGAATTTCTGACTGGGCTAAGTCAAGTGGGGAAAACAGCAGGAATACTGATAATGCCAAGAAGCATGTCCATATAATGCCAATTTTATTTAGATATGCTGGACAGGTGGGCTACCTGATTGCTGGAATGAAAGAAGTAACAGAAGCCCAAATAGGAGACACGCTGTTTTTGTATAAACAGCCAGTGGAGCCTTTGCCTGGCTTTAAGTCAGCGAAGCCAATGGTTTTTGCAGGTGAGGAGTAAACTGATATAAAGTGGAATTACTTTTTTCCAGTGATGAGTAAGAGAGTTATTAGAGCTTCTAAAAATAATATATTAAGAGTTGTGAGGATTAGAGTTTTAGCAAAGTTAAGCTACAGAGGTACATCATTTATATAGCTTTGTGTAACTTTCCCTGTGACTCAACAGACAAGATTCATAATAGTTGCAGACTGGTTTTAGATGAATATAAGACTGTCGTGGTTTAACCTCAGTTGGTAACTGAGCACCACACAGCCGCTCGCTCACTCCTCCCCCCCCCCCCCCCCCCCCCGGCGCGG